ATTTGTGGGGGGGGGGGGGGGGTATGATATGCTAGAAATTACGGTAGCACTCATTAAAGGGGCCCTGGGATGGACGGAGTTAAGTGCTGCTGACCCCCCATGGGCCCAGACTGGGGAAGCCCCATCCCCTCCCAGCCCCACCAATGACCACCAATGGTGCAGTGTTATATGTGGCCATTCCCCAACCACACCACCCGAGACCTGGGTGCATCTGGCTGCCTGCCCCAGTGCCTACCTGTGTCGGGCTTTGAGGTCAGGGGGCTGCTGGTTGGGTGGGGGCTAAGCCCCTCAGAGCTGCCAAGGGAGGAGGCGCTGTGGGGACAGGGGGCAGGTTAGAGTGGAGGGGGGCAATTGTGAGAGGGCTGGGAGGGACTGGGAGAAACTGGGAGGGGAGGGCAGTGGGTTTGGAGGGACTGAGAGAGACTGAGGAAGAAGGACTGGGAAACACTGGGTGGAGGGGGGAGATACTGGGGAGAAAGGACTGGGAAGGATGGGAGACACTGGGTGGAGGGGGCAGGGGGTTTCAATGGGCTGGGAGATACTGGTGAGAAGACACTGGGGAGGACTGGGAGACACTAGGAACAAGGGACTGGGAAGGGCTGGAAGGAACTGAGAGACACTGGATGTGGGGCAGGGAGATACTGGGGAGAAGGGACTGGGGGACCAGAAAGGTCTGGTCTTTCCCAGTTCCTTGTGCCCAGTGTTTCCCAGGAGAAAGTGGGTGGGGTAGGGCACAGGGGATTTGGAGAATGGACAGGGAGACACTGGGTGGGGGGACAGAAAGAACTGGAAGATGCTGGGTAGAGGGGCTGGGGAAGACTTGGAGACACTGGGTGGGGAGCCAGAAGGGACTAGGGGACACTGGATGGACGGGGAGGAGGAATTGGTAGAAGCTGGGAAGAGGGGCAACAGTTGGGGAACAATGCACAGGGGAGACCAAGATGACTGGGAGACGCAGGGTGGGGGGCGTGCATTACCTGCGCAGCAGCAGCTGGGCTGCTCTCTCTTGCAGGCTCCAGGTCTCAGGGTCGTCTGAGCCCTCCTGGAGGACAGGGACCATGGCTACCTCCCAGCTAATGCCCCAAAAGGCCAGCACTTGCCCCCACCCCCTAACTCCAGCCTAAGATGCAGCCAGCTCTGGGGTGCAGCAGCTGGGGAACGGCAGCATATGACAGCAGGCAAGGCAAGGCAGGGCAGGGCAGGCTTGCCACCCCCCCCCACAGGTCTCAGGGATGGGGGGCTGTCCAAGGCACACAGGAACTGGCAGCAGGGCCCCGTGGTTCTCCCACCCTCCATGGGGCAATGGACTGACCGGGGAGTCCAGTAGCGGGGCATCCAGGGCCTGGGAGGCCCCTCTGGGCTCTGTGCAGCCTGTAGGGAGACAGCATAGCTGGGGAGGGCTACCAGAGAACGACCCCCCCAACCCAACACAAGGCTGCCGAGGGAGGGAGTTTCCCTCCTCCCTTCTGATCAGCATCCTGCACAAGAGACCCCGGGTGGTCGGGATCCCCCACCCTCCGCTCCCAGGGCTGCAGAGACCCAGGCATCCGGACTCCTCCAGCCCACTGCCCCCCTGCAGACATCCCAGGCCCCTAAGGCAGGGGGCAGCCGAGGCTGGCGGTCTTGCCCCTGAACCCTCCTGCCTCCCGCTTAAACCCCGCCCCC